CAGGGGCTGCTCAGTTGCTCATACAAAATCCCACCTTGGAGTTTACAAAGGCTTATGGGTAGAAAAGCCACACTAAGTAATTTACTACACTGCAATGCCCCTCCCCACACTCCCAACCTGAAGCAGGCAGTAGAGTACCTACATTGGCTTTGCTCAAGAAAACCCACATTTTGGGATGGGTCAGTGGTGGGAGAGAGAGAATTGTAGAGAACTGAACATATAACCTGAATAGCTCCCCCATGCATAGTGGCAGGGGGCGTGGCTACTGCCTGGTTGCAGCCAATAAACTGGAGCTTCAGGTAAACTGCATCACTACTGATCAAGTTTATTTTGAGCTTGAATTCCTGCAAGAGCACATCGTAATCTGGGATAAGCTATATGGTGGTTGTTTTCATAATTAATGCTTTTAGGTAAACTGAACTTTGTTTTAAAATTTTCATTGTGATTTTGGTAGAAATTTACAGAGCAAAATCATATTCCACACCAGTTCATATACATTTTGCTTCATGACATTGACTGCACTTCCCCACAGTGTAACAGTTTTCTTCCCATTTCCTCTCTGGAGTTACCTCTTCCCTGTGTCCTGTCCAATGCATTCCTGCCCCCTGAGTTATCTCCCTGTGCAAATACTGCCCTTCTGTTTTCCCATGATTGATCGTTCTAAGGAGTTCAGCTAACTGATGTAAATGTTTACCCTATATGTCTGTCGTATGGCTGGAAGGCAGAGGAGTAAGTTTAGTTCCAGACCTGAGGGTAACTAGGGGCCATAATCTCAGGGGTCTCACAAAGCTCTATCATCCCAGAAATGCTGGGCTTTTTTTTTTTTTTTTATGATTTTTAGTTTTGTTTCACATTGTTCTCTCTATCCAGGATCTCTATTCAAAATGGCTGCACCGCCTGGATAGCTGGCAGTCCACCTCTCTGTTTGTCTCTTCTGCTGTTTCCTTTTGTATATGTCAGCCACTAGTGCAGTCCTTGTTGCGCAGAGGCGATTCTTTGTTTTTTACTGGATTGGGACATACTTGGAAATTTGCAAAATGCTTGTGCCCTCAGGTGAAGTGGAATTCTACAGCTCCATATATCTCTTTTTTCATTCAGGATCTTTTACTAGTTGGTGTTTAATCCAGTTCACCTTTGTCTTCAAAGCTCAGTAGTCCAGGATTGTCTTCTGTATCGGTGTGAACTTGTTTCTCATTTATTTGTTGCAGATGGTCTGTCACTTTTGTCTGATTATTCTGCCATGTTGTTCAAAGTTGGCAATCTTTTAGGAATCAAAGGCAAAACCAAAGCTACTGATTTGGAGTGGATTTGGACTCACAGCGCCCCTAGAGGACAGAGTAGAATTGCCCCATATAGTTTCCAAAGTGTCATCTTTTCAGAACGAAAGCTGAAAGCAAACCCACCACATATGAGTCAATTCCACCTCATAGTGACCTTGTAGGACAGAGCAAAATAGTGACAAAGGGTTTCCAAGGTTTTAAATTTTGATGGAATTAAACTGTGACCTCTTTTTCCCACTGACCAGATGGTGGTTTGCATCACCACCTCTTCAGATCTTCCACAGTGACCATGGTGGGATAGATCTGGAGTCACTGCCCTACCAGAGGGGGTAGGTGACTCAAGTCACCACCATTACTCTTGTCACCAGCCTTCACATGCTTGCACCACCTTGCTCACTCAGGACAGTTTCCTCAAGTGTGTAGTCTAAATCCAATGTATAAGAAACACTTCTTTGTTCTACTCTGGATCCCGCATCTGGCTCGTTATCTTCTGATCTCTAGTTCTTTAGACTTGAGCCAGCAGCCTGTTACCGAACCTTACTCACCAGCTCCTGCAGCCTCAGGTCCAGTCATTGGGTGGGTGCCACAGGGGCAGGGAGGCCCCATCTTCTGACCTCTTCTAACCCCCAGAGAAGACGACAGAATCATCATCAGTAGCCCACGGCCTACTCCTACAAGTCCAGACATGTTGCCTCCCACCAGCCAGTTCACCAACCCTGGCACCAACTGTTCCTCCCACAGCAACCACCACCTCTCTGCTGGATTCGATTATTCACTGAAGTGGCCACTCAGAACTCACAGATTATCAGGTTTATTAGGGAAGCTGTTGTTGTTGTTATGTGTCGTCGAGTCAACCCCGACTCATAGCGACCCCTCCTTGGGTTTCCGAGGCAGTATCACTACGGAAGTAGGATTGCCCAACCTTCCTTCCGAGGAGTGGCTGGTGGGTTTGAACCGCCAGCCGTCTGGTTAGCAGGCAAGTGTCTTAGCCACTATGCTACCAGAGCTCCCATTAGGGAAGCAGCAGGCTATAATTCAAGTTCAGGAACACGCTCAGTCTCTCTGATCCAGCTGTCTCTCACATGACAGTCTCTCTCCCAGCAGTGCATGTATCTCAGTCTCTCTCTCTCCTCAGCATGTGTCTCCCATCTGGCAGTGAGAGATTTCTTCTGTCTCTAGGAGGGCTCTTTTTGAGCCTGGGAGAGTGGCCAAACTAACCAATCCCAACATGCAAATTCTATACACGTAAGAGAGAAAAAACTTCACAGAAAATTACTTAATGCTGCTTCCAAAAGAAGCACCCCAGGTGGATAACTTTAATAA